GGCGCGGGGGGAGGGCGGCGCGGGCGGCGGCGGGGAGGAGGGGCCGGCGTTTGAGGTCGAGCCGCTGTCTGGGTGCGATGGGGACGGCGGCGGCGGCGGCGGCGGCGCCGCGCGTGGCGGCTGCTGAGGCTTGGGTGTTGGCTTGGGCAGAAGAGGAGGGTCGCAGGCCAAGGCGACACGGCATGCGGCGGTAGGAGGCGGCGGGCTCGACTGACGGCCCCCGCTACGCGGCGGCGTCGTGTGCTTGGGGCGCGGCCGGACGCGCGCGTGCTCAAAACGGCGACGGCCGGCGCCTGCATGCGGCTGGGGCTGGTGCGAAACGGCCGCTGTGATTGCCTGGGAGCCCGCATTCTGAAACGCACACCTCTCACAGCGCTCGCGAGCGCAGTTGCCTGTATACCACTCAAAGCCCAACAGCTCTTGGCCAGTGGCGCGTCCTGTGACCGCGCGGCGGCCTGGGGCCCCAAGGGCCCGGCCTGGGCGCAAGCACCCTCTGGGTGCGCGCGGCTCCGCCGTGGGTGCGGCGGCTCTGCATACCAGGCTTGCGGCGATTTAGGGAGATTGACAAACTGCTGCGGTTTTGTACTCCGCTTTGCTGGCGGGGGCGGCCCGCCTCTTAGTTGCGCACTCAGCACTGATCCCGGCATCTGACGCCATTTGACTCCTCTGTAGGAGGACCTAGGGGGTTGGGCCATTACAGGCGCGGCCCTGGGTCGCGGCCCTGTTCACACAGGCGTGTGTGTGTGTGCGTGTGTAGTTGCTGATGTAGTGTGTGTGTGTATGCTTTGCCCTGCATGTGTTTGCAAGGGGCCCCGCGCCGCTCTGGGGCGCGCGGCGCCCGTGGCCGCCCTGCCGGCGGCCGCATCCGCACGACGGAACCCCCATGCGCATCCCTTGCAGCCCCCGCGGCCCACCTTTAACACTGCACGCTGCACCCCTGCCCCCCCTCGCGCGGGGGGCGGGCCCCTCGCTCCGCTGACGCGGGCGCGTCCCCTCTCGGCCCGCGGCCATGGCCGCGTGGGGCTTGGTTTGGGGGCGATCACTTGAGCACGCGGGGTCAACAGATGGCGCCCGCCGGTTGCACTTTATTCCGCCGAGAGCGGGCGCCGCGACGGCGCCGTGCACGCGCGCCGCAGCGCGGGCTTGACGGCTTGGAAAATGGAAACCATTCAAGGGGGCATTGTAACGTGGCGGAGGATGCCTTCTGCAGCCCAAAATCCCAAACAGGGTTTGAGCGCACGGAACGCGTCGCGCCGGCGGCGTTCAAGCTGGGGCGGTCTGCGGTTTGCGCGTCACCACTGTGGCTGGGCGGCTGCGCCTTCCGTGAAGTTGGCTGTGGCTGTTGCAGTCACCCTCACCACTATCACCACCAGCGCGCCTGCTATACCGCACCCCCCCCCCCCAGCCGAGCCATGCTGCGCCGGCCCCTAGCCACCCTGAGGGGCCCCTGTCTTTTCGGCTCCCGTTCTTGAAAACGCCGCGCCCAGCGGGCGGGAGGAACAAACGTGTGTGCTGGCAAGCGGACCAGCTGGTATGGTGGAAGCTCTCGCCAAAGTTACAAGTTAGAGGGTTGGTCAAGGTGCAAAGAAAAGCCGGTCAGCCTGTCAGCAGATATTGAGGGGTGGGGTGCTGTTTGAAAGTGGCTGTGCTGCGGCAGTGCTTGAAGCTGAGAATTATAAAGCTGTTGAACAGGACCCGAATCCCGCGGTCAACGCCGCCCCAACGACAAAGGCTGGGCGTTGCCGCGGCCGCGCGCCTGCCACGAGTGCCGGGGCTGCGCGGCGCCGGTTGGGCCGGCCGGCTGGCGCCGCCCGCTTGGGCCACCGCATGCCGTGTGGCCGGGCACTGGCCGGCGGTGCCGGGGCCACGCATGGGCCGCGGCCTGCCGGCCCCCGTTGCCGCCGCGGGCGTGCATCGCAGGGGCACTTGGCGGCGGCCGCGGCACAGGGCAGTGCAGTGGAAAGAAAGGGGGGAGCGGCGGCGCTTTGCGCACACGCGCACGTGCCCGGGGGCGCGGCCGCTGGCCAGGGCGGGCCCGCCACCATCGGCGGCGCCTCATCCCCCAAGCAGGCTGGCGAGCGCGTGACGCCGGGCGGGGGGGAGGGGGGGGTCGGTGCTGGTTCCGAGGCGTCCCGTATGGGGTTGGTGACAAAGAAAAGGAAGGGTTGGGGGGCCCAGCCGCGGCTCGGCAGGGCAAGAGTCTGTGCCCATACAAACAAAGGGGATGTGGAGCAGCGGTGGCTTATACAGATGGAAGGTGATGGTAATGCCGCAGGAGGTTCAGCACCGCAATAGACCCTTCATGAGGGGAGGGCAGCAGGCGGGATGCTGGCCCCGGGGCGAGGTGGGAGCGGCGCCAAACGGCGACGCGGCCGCCCCCTGCGTCACCGCGCCGGCCGGCGCTGCTCCCGCCCCTGCTCCTGCTGCTGCTCTTGCTGCTGCGCAGGGGCCCCCTCGGCCGCGCCATCGGCGGCGTCGGGGCCGAACCCGCGCTCGCCCGCCTTTGCGAGCGCCTGCCAGCGAGTCAGGTTTGCCTCAAAGTGGCGCAGCGCCGCGGCGCAGCTGGTGGGGGCGATGTGGGAGAGCAGCTCAAAGGAGGGCTTCACAAAGAGCTGCAGGAACGCCACCTGGCGGCGGTTGTGGTTGGTTAATTTGGTGGGTAGGGAGGGGTCACTGGAATGTGCGTGCGTGTCTGTGTGTTGTGTGCGGGGCAGCAGGGCGTCTAATGCGTGGGCGGGAGCGTGCGCGGTCGCGCAGACGGGGGCAGAGCCATTCGCCAGGGGCGTTTCGCGCAGATCTCCTGTATGGGCCGGGCGCACCTGGCATGCGGGCACGTTGGGGCGGGTGCGGTCCAGCAGCGGCTGCACTGGCAGGCCCAGGGCAGCCTCCAGGTCACCCTGGCGCCAAAACTCTGGTTGATAG